GCCGGGATAAACCGGCGTCGTCGGCAGTACGAGATGAATCAATAAACCACGGCGTCGTGATCCCGCATGCCGAACGTTTACGCGGACCCGGTGCGGCCGTCCTGCCACTTTGTCGTTTATTTTCGCCGACTGTTGAAAAACTCTGGAAAAATACTCGATCGGAGCGTGTCCTAAAAACCTCCGCCCCCTCTTCGCGAATTGCTTTTCGTTCGATCCACTTTTTATCATCTCCGCTCCTTTTTTTCGCTCTTTTTATATCGAATTCCGTTCTTGCTTCGATCGTTTTCCTATCATCATGGATGAGCTATGAAACGAGTCTCGAACGAGGAGTGTCCTCGTGAGAAAAACAACTTTTCTTCGTCGTTTATTGACTCGTTATGTACGCACGTTAATACTTTCATGGTCGCATGCTTTTTATGGGACTTCCAACTATTTTAATCCTATATACGTTCTTTTTCTTCAAAATGTTACATTAAGAGATTTACGTTTCGCGAACGTAGTACTTTCGTAACGTTGTGGTATTTCTACACTATGTATCGTCACGTTCAGTACTTTCACGCGTTATATCGCAATGCATAGCATTGCTTGTGGTAATTTCATGTGACAAATACTTCGTAAAGTATTTCCTCGCGTTATATAGCCACGTCTAGTATTTGTACGTGTTACATCGCCATGCGTGGTACTTCTTCGCATTATATCACCGCGCTTGGTACTTCCTCGCGTTGTATCGCCATGCGTGGTAGTCCCACGCGTTATATTGCCATGCATGGTACTTCCTCGCATTATATTACCATGCGTGGTAGTCCCTCGCGTTATATTGCCATGCGTGGTAGTCCCACGCGTTATATTGCCATGCATGGTACTTCCTCGCGTTATATCGCCATGCGTGGTACTTCCTCGCGTTATATCGCCATGCGTGGTACTTCCTCGCGTTATATCGCCATGCGTGGTACTTCCTCGCGTTATATCGCCATGCGTGGTACTTCCTCGCGTTATATCGCCATGCGTGGTACTTCCTCGCGTTATATCGCCATGCGTGGTACTTCCTCGCGTTATATCGCCATGCGTGGTACTTCCTCGCGTTATATCGCCATGCGTGGTACTTCCTCGCGTTATATCGCCATGCGTGGTACTTCCTCGCGTTATATCGCCATGCGTGGTACTTCCTCGCGTTATATCGCCATGCGTGGTACTTCCTCGCGTTATATCGCCATGCGTGGTACTTCCTCGCGTTATATCGCCATGCGTGGTACTTCCTCGCGTTATATCGCCATGCGTGGAAGTCCTACGCGTTATATCGCCATGCATGGTACTTCCTCGCATTATATCACCATGCGTGGTAGTCCTTCGCATTATATCGCCATGCGTGGTAGTCCCACGCGTTATATCGCCATGCATTGTACTGCCTCGCGTTATATCGCCATTCATGGTAGTCACATGCGTTATATTGCCATGCATGGTATTTCCTCGCGTTATATCGCCATGCGTGGTATTTCCTCGCTTTATATCGCCGTATGTAGTATTTCCACGTGTCACATTACTTTGCGTAGTATTTCCACGCGTTATATCGCCATAACACAGCTTAATAGCGTATAAATCGCACAGTACTAGTTCGATAAATTTGAATTTATTACCGACCTAATAAAAGCCATAGCAATTCATCAATAGCAATGTGTATTCGAGTCTTTTTGTAAATCTCAGAGTAAACCCGATCTCGTATCCTCTGGTTAATTAATTCCGTTCCACTAAGAACACGGAAGCCAACGAACGAACGAACGAAGAAGTCGATTTAATCGGATTCGGAATTTCCTGGACGCTGGCGAGGCGAGCGTTTATTAGGTACATCGAGAAAGATACGACTTCCTCGTTCTCGTTGCGAGAAGAAGAACGATAACAAAATTTGCGCCAACTCGTATGTTGGTATATGTAAGGGGTGTCTAAAATTGGATTTCGTACGAGTCGAAAAAGCGGGATTAGTCGTCTGGTCCGCGAACTGGTGGCAAGGGAGGAAGTTGTTAGTCACGTTCATGACCATCCGGAGAATGACGACGTAGTTTAGCTGCCAGGACGTTGCTTTGGATTTATTGCGTCCCCGACGGGAAACTCGACAATGGGGACGCGATTCTCCTTGCCTTTGTCGGTTGCGATATCACCTTCGAAAGAACCTCGATCGTGGTAATCACCAATTTTCCGATAGAAATTGCGCTTCATTTACTAACCTCGTTTCACTCGAATCTTGTTAGGTCGGTTTATTGCTGTAGACTCTAACCTTGACGATATCTTACCAATATTATCGATATAAGTCTGATCGAGTTTAAACATTATACCAATAATCGATAGTAACACATCCACGAAACGTTTACTCATTTCACCCAACTCGTGCACCCATTTTTCGACCACCTTTTTTCGGACGACATACGCCCGAATTTTCGGAACAAATTTCGTAATCGCTCATTTAAATTTACCAGCTCGTCCCGGATTAGCCAACCGCGTAACAGTCGGCTTTTCCGTTCAGTTAACCGAAATGGATGTTACTTTTCGCCGTAAAGCTCGAATAACGATCTGTAATTTCAGGTACGCCGGCCAACGCGCCACAGTTCCACTCCGGT